CCCCCGTCACCCCTCTTGATCTCCATCAGCTCGCCTGGGTCCTTTCAGAAGTTTTGATCACCCTCCTCTTCCTCCTCCTCCTCCTCCTCCTCCTCCTGTCCGCTTCCTGCCTCCCGATTGCTGTTTCTGATCAGATTCACGGTGGAAACAGCCTGTCAGGATGCTGGGGCCCGAGTGGCCCTCGTAGGTGACCACATCCTCCTCCAGGACTCGGTTCCCTCCCTGCACTGCAGCAGGCTGGGTCCCTGTCCACCCACAAGGCCGCCCCTCAGCCCCCACTGGCCCTGGAGCCATTCCTTGGGTCCTGAAGGGTGGATTTTGCCTCTTGGCTCTGAGGAGGAGGCGGCTGGAGGGAGGGAGGGGATGGGGCGGGGACGCAGGTGTGGGCGTGAGGGTGGCGGGGGGCACGTCGGGTCCACCTGCGGCACTCCGGTGAGTTGTGATGCGTCCGTGACACCGACTGACTGGTCTTCATCTAACCTTGTTTCTCTGCCGACTCCCGGGATGAGGGTTTGTGAGTTATACAGAGCTTGAGAGAGAGGAGAGAGGGGAGGCGTGGAGGGGTGGGCGGGGGGGGGGTGGGCACTCAGCCAGGGCTGGAGAAGGGGTCCTTCCCTGGCCCGGCCGAGCCTCCTCCCTCCTGGGCACAGGCCTAGCAGCCGTCTTTGCCTGGGTCTGCGGTGCTGCGGAGTTGGATTTAGAAAGAATTGAGAAAAGGCAAATGTAGAGCTTGTATGTGGAGAGCAAAAAGCAGAGAGAGGAGAAAGGAAAGAAGGTCATTACTGTTCTTTTTCATTTTTAATTTTAAGTTTTTTTTGGTTTAAAAGAACGATTGCAGCTTGTAGCCTTGGGAAGTCCTCTTTTTACTCTCTGTATTTCCCCTATTTTTTCTCTTCTCCCCATGTCATTGTGTTGCGCATCAAAACCCCCTTTACATCCCTCAGAGCTTCGAGAAGGTTGGTGTGTTTTTTTCTTTTTTACTTTCTTTACCCACATTTTTACATTCTGCAGTGATGACACGCACGCACACGAAACACAGGTACACACCACGCAGACACACGCAGACACGCACTCGGAAAAAAAAAAGCAAAACTGAACTAAAAGAATGGAATATGAACGATAACCACAAAGCAAACAAAATAAATAAAAACCGCCAAGCGAGAGCAAAACCCAGAAAGACACGAAAATCTCAGCCGCGCCCAGCCCGGCCCAGGGCCGGCCGCACACATGCGATGCTTGCATTATGGTTGCTTTGCATCTGTTGGTAATGTTGTTGCTAAGTTTTTTGCACTCGTCGCCATGGTAACTTGGGCCTGATGCATGCTGGGAGAATGTACAAATTTCTCTGCATGCCACCCTGTCAGTTTGGTTTGGTGAATTCACAGCGTCTTCTGTTGGAGTGTTTCTTGTCTCCTGTTCCGTTTTTCTCTTTTGTTTCCTCCCCCCCCCTTTTTTTTTCTTTCTTTTTTTAAGTTTTGTTTCTTTGGGGGGGGCGATTGGTTTGGTTTTTTCTCCCCCCCTCCCATCCTCTTCACCCCGCACCCCTCTCCCTTCTCCCCCAAAGCGATTTGTCTTTGGTTCTGTCTTGTTTCTGTGCTGTTTTGGTTTTTGGTTTCTTGGGCTGAGCTGTTCAGTGGTTGTTCTCCAAACGCATTGTGATGTAAAAGCCAGTGTTCCTGTCCCGACTCTCGAGGGAGGGCCGAAAGGGCTTCCCGCAGCTGGGATGCTGGGCCAGAAAGTGACCGCGTGGGGCGTCTGACGGGCGGCGGAGGTCAGAGCCCGGTCAGGGTGCGTGGGGAGGGCACCCCAGTTTGCCTGACCTCCCGGCCAGCCCCTCTTTTCCTTTATTTTCTCCTGGGCATCCGTGCAAGGAGGGAGCATGAACCGGTGTTTCCCCCTCCTGCCGCCTCAGCGTGAGGCTCCCGCCCTCCCGAGACAGCCAGACAAACCAAAACTGGATTTGCTAAGTTAAGCTGAGGAACCACCGAGGGTCCAGGAAGGGTAGTGGCGAATAGGAGTCGGGAGAGAGCAGTAACGACCCTGTCCTCCCGGGACTCTGTGGGCTTGGCACCTCGCGCGCCCAATGCCAGCTGGTGTGGCGGCTTCGAGCGTCCCGGCTGGGCCCGGGGCCGGGGCTGCCCACCCGCGTGTGGCGGGACAGACTTTGGAAGAAATACTTGGCCGGCCGGCCGTGCCACCCGGAGCACTGTGCCTCCACCTCCTGGGCGGTGCTGGCTGCTCCCCCTCTCCCCTCGCGGGCTCTGGGCCCGGGCCCAGGTGTCTTCGGTCCAGCCACGCAGCAGGTCACTTTCTGAGTTCCCACGCATCGGAGCTGCGGAGTTCTGGGGGAAACCAGGGGATTTTGGACACAGCCTCTCCCCACTCTTGCTGTCTGCCCACTTCTCTTTGCTCTCTTTCTGTCTGTCTCTCTCTCTTTCTCTCTTAACCCTTAGAGACCCACGTCCCTATCTTCTGCTCCCTCCCCAAGAAAGAGCAAGCACCCTCCAGACTCTCCTGTCAACTCCAAATAAAAAGCAGCCCCTAACGAAGTAACCCGTTGAGGGTCCATCCACAGGCCCTTCCCAGCTTTCTGCTCAGCGGTCGAGGGTAGAGGCCTCTTTTCTTCCTGTCTCGTCCTTCCTCTACCTACCCTAACCTCCCAGCTATTAAATCCAAAGCCACGTTGTTAAGAGGACCTCAAATGCCAAAGAAGGGGACTTCACTTCTCCTTCCTAAGTGAGCAGGAGAGCTGCCAGACGACCCCAGGGAAGCCCCGTAAGATGCGGCCAGGACATCTCCCAGTCCTCCACCAAAGCCAGGTCCTGGTGCATCACGCCTCAGGGGCCTGAGGGTCCCTGGGTCTCACAGGCAGAGCAGCCAAGTCCCGAGGGTCGGGTCTGGGCTGTGGCTCTGTCCCTGCCTGGTTGTATGACCTTGGGCCTGTCATCCGAGATGACTCGGAGCCCATTTCCTCCTCTGAACGAGAGGAACTTGCCGTGCTCAGTGGCTGCGCATGTCCACCTCGCTGAGGCCTCCTCCTCCACGCTTCCCTCCTGTGCCCACTGTTTAAAGAAGGTGGGTATGGGGAACTGCTGTAAAATCACAGGGCAGAGGCTAATTCATGTGCTCAGGACTGGATTATTTTTTTTTACTAGTGCTTTTCTGATCTCCCTTGGTATCTCATTGTCTCCTGACTCCAGCCCTGACCCCAGGCTGTTTTGCAGAGCCACAGCTGTCCTCCCTCTCGCCCAGCCCCTGGCCATCCCCTAGGAAGTTTAGGAGGAGTGACACAGAGAGCTTTAAAACCAGGCGAGCTGGACACGGTGGCACTCACCTGCCATGCAGCACTACGGGAGGCTGAGGCAGGCAGGAGGATCAAAAGTTCAAGTCCAGCACTGGCAACCTAGCAAGATCCTGTCTCACATTAAAAATAAATAATTTAACAGTGCTGGGGATATAGCTCAGGGTGAAATGTCTGGGTTCAATTCCCGGTGCAAAACAAAAAACAAAACAAAACGGGCCACCCTCGAAAGTAGTTACTAGCCTGCAGTAGCCTGCAGGTGCTTAAATTGTTACGAGCAGGGCCTGACCAGGGGGTCCCCGCCTGCGACTTGACTCTTAGTGTAGGGCAGATACTCCCTGTGTGCCTTTCTCCTGAAATTGACCAGCGGGGTCTCAAGAGCCAGAGTCCAAACCCTGGCCACTTTTGTCACCTGAACTCACCGACCTGCCCTGGTGGGGACCAGATGGCGCCCTCTCCTCAACTGCTAATTCTGTCTCTCGTCTCTCGAAAGCTGTGAGCCTTTACGGTGTGTGCGGATGAAGGGCCAAGGAGGCCGCCTTCCCTGGCTGGCCTGGCAGCCTAGGGACCTATGTCAGTGGTGTCGCCCGCCCGCCCCCCAAGCCCTAGCGTTGGTGGACGTGACCTCGAGCGGTTCCTTTGCCTGCCGAGTCCCCAGAGCGACTCCCCCGAGGGTCGGCTGGTCAGCTCTCCGGTCCCGCTGTGATCTTGGGGGCAGGCGGTGTGAGATGAGGGCCCAGCCCCTTCTCATCCTGCACCCGTGGGGAGAGGGGGCTCCCGCAGGAACACTGAGCTGGGACCACTGTCGCCTGCTGCCTGCCTCCTGACCCTGTGCATTGCTCATCCGTCTGTGGGTGGGGGCGGGCGCGAGGGGCCTCTTAGATTACACCTGGTCACCTGCAGAGCGGGGAGGGCGTCGATTGGATGAAACCCAGAGCGGGGAGAGAGAGGGTAACTTCACCCCAAAAATAACCCAACCGTTGTCTAAAACCATCTCTAGTGCAGCCAGTACTGAGGCCACTGGTCGGGGGCCCAGGCTCCTCCGGGCCACACACGGTGGCTTCGTGGGGGTGGGGGGCGCTGAAGACCAGAGGAGGGAACAGCAGAGGCGCAGTGGCCCTGCGCCCACCTCCCGGGCCACAGGCTGAGTCCGAAGGCGCGGACTAGACGCGGGCTTGAAATTGGGCTCTGACTGCCCCCCTTCCCCGACAGGTGTAATCTAAGCTTCACTAACCCTCCCCGGAGGCTGCACCCCCTTCCTGGCATCTGTCCCTGCCCTCGCCGCTGGCATAAATGTCCATTTTGGAGTTTGGAGAAGCATCTCGAGGTCTCTCACCCCAAAATGGCCCGCAGAGCTCCCCGCACGCCCGGAGCTGCGGCTTGCTGGATCTCTTGAGCTGTCTGACACTGTTGGGTCCCCACCTGATGCTTCAACCAAATCACCTCACTTTTGAGTTTCTCCCCTCCTCCCCCTCACTCCGCCTCCCCCACCCCCACCCCAGTTTTGATTTTTTTGAGTTTTTGCCTCTTCCTGCCTGGGGGAGGGGCCGTCTCCCGGTTGCTTTGACGGTTTTTGAGTTGTTTTTCCATGTGGATTGGGGTCTGAAGCGACCACCCCTCCACCCGCCACCACCCCACACCCACCGCCCCCCAACCCCTTCACCCACGCGGGTCCCCCCGCTGGGACCCTCCCTGGCCACTCGGTGACAGAGAAGAGCTGGGGACCAGAGCCAGCTGGAGCGTGCTGACCACAAGGCTGGTGTCGTCCCTTATAACCCGCCTGGACCCTCTCTTCAGGTCGGTAATCGGGGGCGGGGGTTCCGCGGGGCCTCTCTGTCCCGTGCGCCCCGTGCTCACCTTATTTTCTAACCTGCACCTCAAGCTTGCAGCCAGGGGTGGAAAGATGACGTGGGCGGGAACCAGCACCAAACTGGGCAGAACACAGCGTCGGCCGTCCACGCTTCCCAGCCGGGAGGACGCCCAGGGCCTGAGCTCCGTAGTCCTGAGGGGCACAGATGCCTCAGACTCATGGCCAACCAGCCCTCATCCTGCCCCGCATCCTTAGAAGCAAGCAAGCTGGGTGACAAAACAAGAGCACCAAGTTTGCTGGGAGTCAGAAACGCCTTGCTCGCCATTTAACTGATGGCTGCTGGCCATGTTGGGACTTGCTGGCGAATACCCTCACATTTAACCGGCTCACAGCTGGCCGCCCTGGTGGAGGGCAGGTCTGTCACGTGTTCAAGGTGGATAGGCCTGTGTCTGCTTCTGGAAGTTACAGGCACCTTGTCAGTTACGATGCCCAGGAGATACTTGAAGACAGCATGTGAGCAGGGTCTTTGGGACAGAATGTTGGGCCTGTAGAAGAGAGCAACTGGATGGATACTTAACCTTTAGACCCTAAAACTAGGTCTTATTTCCATTGATAGTCCAATAATCCCTTTAGGAATGAGCCTTTTACTGATGGCTTCTGGAGGCTTATTATGAGGGCTGCTGGATGCTGTCCACCTAGCGGCAGTTAGTCTGTTGATGGAGTTGTTCCTAGGTGATGAGTCCTTCTGCCCTCTTTGCTGTCCCAGGGGGTAAGGCTTCACGGGTTCGGAAATAGCCAAGATACCAAGGAGGGACCCCTGGCTATAATTCTTGCTATTAACCATGGTGAGAGAAGGCTCACTTTGCATGAAGGGCGGGGACCAGGCAGGCCCGACTTTGAGCCCTGGCCACGCCACTTCCTGGCTAGTCCTGTCACCTCTGTGGCCCTCAGTTTCCTCGTCTGCAAACTGGGCTTACGCACATTTGCCTCTCAGCCTTGTCGAGGGGGATGAAGTGAGACAGGAATTTCCTGTCTTGGCTTTTTAAAGCCACCACCCCCACCGCCTCCCTGGAGGTAGAGAATCTTGGTTCTGGAAGGTTGACCCCTCGGCCCCAGGCATACCCTCCAGAAGAAGTCACCGCCTGGCTCGGTCTTGCAGATGGGGAAACTGAGGCAGGGGTGGGGCTGCCCAAGTGGGTTCTGCACCCCGGGTGAGACGGAGTTCGCTTTGCCGTGGGAGTCGAGGCCCGGGCAGCAGAGGTGTCCACGGCAGGGCCCTGCGGCAGGGAGAGACTGGAGCC